CCCATCATCCATTGTCCATCGTATTGTAGTCTCCATTTGTACCTCTATTTTACATTATAACATTTTATAATACACTTTACGGCCTGACAGAGGCCGCGAGCGTGGGGGAGGCGGTGTTCAGAGTGTCGAATGTCACGTCTGGCCATCTGAGGGGAACCATTAAGATGTCGCTCCTTAATAGCCGCCATTAACTACGAGGAGAGCGAAATAGGACGAAGGAGGAGGAGGGGGGGGGGGCGGGGATTTTCTTAGGATTGGTTTGTCTTGGTTCATGACCCCAGGCCTATTGGGGAGGCTTTGTAGGCCTGGTAAATTATTGGTTCCTGCCATAAATGGGAGGTTTATTATTAACTCTAAAATGGTTAATGGGGAGAGAATGGTAGTTAGGTAGTTTGTCTTAGAGTCAAGAGGAAGGAAACTGTCAGGGGGAAAGTGCCAAGCCATTACGACTATATAGCACTGGGAAGGGGTCAGGATAAGGATTTGGGATGGGATGGGAAGAAGGAATGGTATCCAACCACTTGGACGGTCGGGGATTGAACGCCGACCTGCATGAAGCGAGACCGTCGCTCTACCGTCCAGCTCAAGTGGTTGGGGGTCTTAGAGTGAAGAGGTTTGTGATTACTGTAAGCCGAGATGAACAGAGAACTGCAGTGTGTATGGCCATTTCCCCTCTGAATTAATCCTGTCAGCCACAGTTATGTTCAGCTGTTTGTGGTAATTGAACTCATTAGCATTCTCTTGACGCACAAACGTGTCATTCGCACGTCGTCAGAAAAGTCCTAAAGACGTCTGAAACGTGTCAAGCTGTCTTGAAACTTCCGAAAATTTTGATACCTACATTAAACTAGTGAATATTGTCTTGATGGCAAACAATCTGAAAATTATGTTGTTTTTCTACAGATATATTATATATATATATATATATATATATATATATATATATATATATATATATATATATATATATATATATATATATATATATATATAATGACCGATTATGTGCACATATTTTCATATTATAATTGTTTTTAATTTATGTTGACAGATTAATGAGGAATGTTGAACTGTTCTAAATATTCAGCCCCATTATGTATAATCAGTTATCAATATACATTTTTTTCGACGTGTATTCTAGAACATTCATTTGCCAAAAAAAAAAATAATTTAGAAAATTTAAAAATAGAATAAAAACGTTAGGCATGGTTAAGAGCCCTAGTGACCAGTCGAGGCGCGGGGGGACCAAGAAGCTGGGCGTAGCAGCTGTCTAACTCCCTGGTACCGATTTACTGTTAGGTAACAGGGGCATCAGGGTGAATGCAACTCTGCTCCATTTGTTTTCCGCCATCGCCGGGGATCGAACCCGGACCCTACTATTACGAGTCCCAAGCGCTGTGCACTCAGCCACAGGCCCCCCTATGTGTGTATGTGTGTGCGTGCTGGTGATTTGTAGCAAGGTCTCCTCACTCCTCCAAAACATCGTTTAGAGGTAGTGAGAGGATGAGTTGATCTGCCAGCTAATAGTTTGCTGGTTCAAACGGTCGTTTAACCAGTGTGAATGAATGCGGCGCCGCTCATTTGGATTCGAACCGTTGGCTGAGGTCTCGAATAACCAGACATGACTCTCCCCATAACATCCCGTGTTTATCAACAAGGACCAAATGTTCATTGCTACACATGCAGCCACCAAACCCACTGTTCTTTGAATAACAATACACACGACTCGTAGCTGGTGTCTGAACATTTCTCGAACTTCGCTAACGACCTCTGTTCGAATCGCAGCTCTGTAAATGCTTCATTCCACATCAGCCGGTATGTTGTGTCTAGGGAAGTCGATGCTCTTAGATTTAGTGAGTTGGATTTTGTTGATCTGGAAAGGTTGTCGCGTAGTTCGGGTAAGTTATTATCGGAGTATAGGTCGGCGTTTTATACAATAGTTGAAGTCTTAAAGAATCGTAACTTACGACGGACCCACCGGCCGGCGAGCAATAGCTGTCACGAGACCCAATGTTGTAGATTAGGAGACCCAATGTTGTAGATTAGGAGACCCAATGTTGTAGATTAGGAGACCCAATGTTGTAGATTCAGCTACTCGGAACACAAAGTTGCAAGTAGCACGGACTATGGTGAGCCCGTAGTAGACTTACCTGGCACAGGAGCGGGGCTGTAAACGAGAGTAGAGAGCTTGCGAGTCCGGCCAACTACCCCTAGTAACGTAGTGGTACACACTATATACACGGTAAGTCCTGGAAAGTTTGGCTGTGACTCTACATGAAGGACTTGACACTACAAGTGGTTAGTTGCAAGTTAGTTTCTATTGACCCATGACCTAAGTCTCTGGGTACGTCTTGTCTAGTGATATATAACTTAGGTTGTCGAGCGTGTGAACTAATTTTGTTCACCTTACGTTGAAAAATAAATGAGGAATGTTAAAGTGTTATATAAAAAATTCAGCGCCATTATGCATAATCTATTATCAATACACTTTTTTTTACCGGCGTGTATGCAAGAACATTCATTTGCAAACATTTTGACATTAAATGTTATAGTTATAACCCAAACTTGAACAATCAGTGTGCTTGCTTTCTCCTGATGGCTCACACATACAGAAACTCTATTTTTATAACCTGAAGCTTATAAAAGTAATGTGTATTTACGTGTTATAATAACGCCTTTAAAATTTGCTTTGCCCAATATAGCTCACCTGATAACTATCATACCACTACCACCCTTAGTTCCTCGTCTCGTTGTGCGTGTCAAGCGTAGGCTAGACATATATATCAAGGAGTTTAGGTTGATACGCGTTGTTTCGTAGGTAGTTACTAAGATTTTCTGCATTTTCCTTAATTCTTGTGCTCTTAAGCCTGGAAGATGCAGGTGAGGTAGATTACGGCCGGAAAATTACCAGTCATTACCTCAGGTCCAGCTTGCGGGCTCGCCATAGCCCGTGCTACTTGGACCTTTCTTTCTGAGTAGCTAAATCTAGAACAACAACAACCTCACATCTGTAACAACCGCAGAGAAGAGGATTGGAATTATCAGGATAAAGCGCTAAACCATTAATTGCGACTATATAACACTTGGAAGGGATCAGGATAAGGATTTGGGATGGGACGGGGGGAAGAAACGTTGCCCAACCACTTGGATAGTCGGGGATCGAACGCCGACCTGCATGAATCGAGACTGTCGCTCTACCGTCTAGGCAAAGACTATCACTATCCCCCACTACACCACTATTGTTACACTATCCCCAGCACCCATTCTCGTCCCATCCCACCAACACACCACTGGCTAGTCACTGCAGCACCCCCTCCCGTCCTCCAGAGCCCAGTGACAGTGTTCCACTTGTAAGCCGTCACTGCTACTCAACATGGCGGACGGGGACCCAAGGTTCAGGACAGACTCAGTGTCCCTGTCTAGCAGTGATTTACTTAATCAAACGCCATCAGTAAATAGACTGTAATTTGTCTTGCTTATAATCACTATCTAATTGCGTGTTGATGATTGTTGAGTTACGTAGTTCTCCACTGGTTATTTTGCGGGCAATGTTAACAATAAGTGATGATGATAGAAGTATTTACGGGCTCGCCATAGCCCGTGCTACTTGGAACATTTTGTTCCAAGTAGCGAATCTTAAACAACAACGATAGAAGTAGTAAAGCCTTGATAAAGGAACAATTAGAAGGGCTGTCACAGGAGCTAGGATGTTACTTACCTGTTACTTAGGGTCTGTGTGACGTATAATGAACTCTCAGCTTGTGTGATGAGTGGTATTCTTAGTTGATGAGTTAGACGTTCATATGATGAATTATGCACTTGTATGTTGAGCTATACACTTGTTTAATGAGTTGTACGCTTGCAGGATGAATTCAACGCCTGCGCGATGACTTATACCGTGTATGATGAGGTATACATGTATGATGAGGTATACACGTATGATGAGTTAGACAAATATGATTTATACGTAATATGATGAGATATGTGCATATAATTATGTATCTGATAAGCTGATGAGCGGCAATTACTTGGTGATAACCTTACTGTTGATCAATTACGTATGATAAAGACATACACGACTATTGATGCGTTCTGCTTGTAATACACGAGATAACATTGATAACGTGACCTATAGGAGCTAACTTCCGCCTTGACTGACGCTGGGTCAACCTTCCAAAACTTGCTAAGTTATTTTTTTTACACGTCCAGGTGTCAGTATACAGGGGAGAAGTATTGGAACCCCCCCCCCTTCAGGATCTGCATGAACTGGTTGGGTAACTGGATTGTCGATTTGTGGATCCAATTACCTCGTAACATAATAGAAGTAGGATCCCTTGATTGTTTCAAGCGTAGGTTAGACGTGTATATATGAGTGAGATTGGGTGGATATAAATAGGAGCTGCCTCGTATGGGCTAATATAGGCCTTCTGATGACGCGAAGTTGATGCTTCTTCATGAGCACCGCTCCTGTGCCAGGTAAGTTCACTACGGGCTCACCATAGCCTGTGCTACTTGCCCCGCTCCTGTGCCAGGTAAGTTACGGGCTCACCATAGCCCGTGCTACTTGCCCCGCTCCTGTGCCAGGTAAGTTACGGGCTCACCATAGCCCGTGCTACTTGCCCCGCTCCTGTGCCAGGTAAGTTACGGGCTCACCATAGCCCGTGCTTCTTGCCCCGCTCCTGTGCCAGGTAAGTTACGGGCTCACCATAGCCCGTGCTACTTGCCCCGCTCCTGTGCCAGGTAAGTTACGGGCTCACCATAGCCCGTGCTACTTGCCCCGCTCCTGTGCCAGGTAAGTTACGGGCTCACCATAGCCCGTGCTACTTGCCCCGCTCCTGTGCCAGGTAAGTTACGGGCTCACCATAGCCCGTGCTTCTTGCCCCGCTCCTGTGCCAGGTAAGTTACGGGCTCACCATAGCCCGTGCTACTTGGAACTTGTTCCGAGTAGCTGAATCTCTAACACCAACAACACCAACATGCTTCTTGTTGATGTGTTTCAGACGTGAGCGGGGAGGAGGTGGCCATTGACCAACTGGAGGACTACCTACAGGCCCACAGCCACGGCCTGAGGGGACGAGACCACGAGCCGCGGCGATACCGACCCACTACGGTAAGCACACGACTCTTAACTACTTAACTATACCGTCTTCCAGCGGTAATAACAACCTCTTACCTCGCGAAACTACCGTCTCTCGAAGGTAATAAGCCCCTTCCTCCCTACCTACTTACCTACAGCCTTCTAGAGGGTAAAATTTACCTTGTCTTATCTGCCTATAAGCTCGCTGGTAAGAGCCACAGTCTCCCTCCCACATTTCTGAACCCCCGCCCCCTTCCATACTTCAGAACCCCCCTCCAACCATCCAGAACCCCCCTCCAACCATCCAGAACCCCCCTCCAACCATCCAGAACCCCCCTCCAACCATTCAGAACCCCCCTCCAACCATTCAGAACCCCCCCAACCATTCAGAACCCCCCCCCCACACACACACCAGAGTCCTCTCCAACATTTGACAGCCTCCAAACTCCCTATCTTATCTGCCAGTACCGAGCATGTCCCTGTCAGCCGTGCTGATACCTTTCTGCCTGCCGCCGTCTCGCTAAATTTGTACCTTTGCCTCAATGGATTTTTGTTTGTAAACAATCTGTGTTTACACTCAGAGCCTATGAGTGCTTTGACCATAAATCCCTCTAATTCAAGGAGGCTGATCGGGGACCCGCTGTACTTAGTGCTAGTTCGTCATTCGCTTTGCTAGCGGTGAGCTGAGTTTTTTTTTATTATTATTTTCTACCACAGACGTGGCCCCCACAGACGTGGCCCCCACAGACGTGGCCCCCACAGACATGGCCCCCACAGACGTGGCCACTACAGACGTGGTCCCGACAGACGTGGCCCCCACAGACGTGGCCCCCACAGACGTGGCCACTACAGACGTGGTCCCGACAGACGTGGCCCCCACAGACGTGGCCCCCACAGACGTGGCCCCCACAGACGTGGCCCCCACAGACGTGGCCCCCCACAGACGTGCCCCCCACAAACGTGGCCACCACAGACGTGGCCACCACAGACGTTGTGAGCTGAGTGGACGCTGGAGACTCACCACCAATCCTGACATAATCCTGGCAAGCACTATATCGGCTGCTCCCGGCCATGATAGAAAACGGAAGCAGAATCAAAATGAGAGGGGAGACTTTTGCCATCAGGACCTGGAAGACAGTTTTCCGTTGTCGGGGTCAGTAAGAATGTTCATACGTGACCCTCTTAGGGGAACCACTGGCCTTTCTAGGGATGCAACCCACAACACTTGTCAGATTCCCAGGTACCTGTTAACTGCTAGGCGAGCAAGGGACCGTGCCCAATCGCGACAGTCCAGCCGTTGGAATCGAAGCAGGGACCCCATGGTCGTGAGGCGACGCCGTAACCACGGCGGAACAGGACTTGACTGTGAGGTAGTTGAAGATGTAGGGAGATGAGCAAGAGCATCCCGGCCTCGATAACGCTTCCCCTCTACATCATCACCACCAACAAAAGACTGAACTACAACCTGTACTAAACAGGTCATCAAGCCTCACCTTACATCACAGGAACAGATCCAGACACATCCCATATAGAGGGAACCCTCACACTTTACAACCTCTCGAACACTACATCGCATTCTGACGCATAAATCGACCAAAATATGATGTACTATAATATATTATTGCAACTCGCAAATTTACGGTCCATCACGTTTTCTATTCGCGGAGGGGTCCTCGCTTAGGTAAGGTTCTGGCAATTTAGTGCCTCATTTAGTGACGTTGTGACAACAGGAGAGGACGGGGTGCTCAGCAGGTCAACTCTGGAGAGTGACCCCCGGGAAGGAGACAGTGGGGCATCCGATGTTCTTAAAGCTAATACCAGCGTCTAACCAGGACCTCTTTGCTGATAATGATGATGAATATCTCGGCTGGTTTACAAGAATCATCAAATAATGGCTGTGTATCAACTGTCGCGCTCGGTGATGGCGACTCCTAGACCCATAAGTAGGTTGATCAGGCATGAAAGCGAAGGTGCCGTGTAAGTACACTTCTCATTCTGGAAATAATATCGTCTATACAATATTATCTTGAGATATCTTGAGATTATTTCGGGACTTTTAGTGTCCCCGCGGCCCGGTCCTCGACTAGGCCTTTACCCCCAGGAAGCAGCCCGTGACAGCTAACTAACACCCAGGTACCTATTTTACTGCTAGGTAACAGGGGCATAGGGTGAAAGAAACTCTGCCCATTGTTTCTCGCCGGCGCCTGGGATCGAACCCAGGACCACAGGATCACAAGTCCAGCGTGCTGTCCGCTCAGCCGACCGGCTCTCAATTATTATTATCTCTATTACTATTATCCAGATGGAGTAGATGCAGCTGTTTCTGCTCCAGTCGTTACCCTCCTCCTCCTCCTCCTCATAACAGGGGACCCAAGGCGTCACTCATACTGTTAACGTATCATTCCTTCACAACATGAGATGCATGTTTATATAATGTGTGTCAAGGCACGTGTTGGGTGGCCCCGGAGGCTGCATCTCGCACGCTCAGGAGAAGAGTCGCCTCGCCGTAAAGGCTCCAAGGGAAGCCACTGTTACTCAAATAGGGTGGAAAGCCTTTAAGGCTCTTAATACCAGCCTTGTGTGTTTTATTTGTAAGGAGGTACTCTGCAGCGACCGGGTTTCTCTCTCTCTCTCTCTCTCTCTCTCTCTCTCTCTCTCTCTCTCTCTCTCTCTCTCTCTCTCTCTCTCTCTCTCTCTCTCTTTTCTCATCTCTTTCCCTATCCCCTTTTCTTGCCATCTCCAACTTTTTCCCCCCTTTTACCCCTCCTTTCCATTCCTCCCTCTCTCCCTCTCTGTCACCTCTCTTCCCCTCTCCCTCCTCTTCACCTGTCTCCCCCTTTCTTCTCTTTAAACATTCTCCTCTACCCCTTCTTCTTTCTCTCTCTCGTGTATCTGTCTGCCCCCGTCTGTCTTTGTTGTCTTCCTGTCTATCTTTACCCTTGTCGACCCGATCTGCTTGTCTGTCGTCTCTTTCATTCTGTCTGTCTGTCTGTGTTGCTGTTTCAGTCTGTTTCTCTCATATCAAAATATATATATATATATATATATATATATATATATATATATATATATATATATGTATATATATGTATATATATGTATATATATGTATATATATGTATATATATGTATATATATGTATATATATATATATATATATATATATATATATATATATATATATATATATATATATATATATATATATATAGTTTCCTATTGGTGTGTGGGCTTTCCGCGGGTAGCAAGAGATTAGCATTGTGAAATATGAAAACAAAAATATATGATAGTTTCCCCTTTGGAGACTGTCCAAAGGGAGTTATCATACGTAATGAGGAACAGGTTGTAAATCAAATGGTAATTCGCGTTTTAGGGAGATAATGGAGGGCAATGATTGGTGGATCGTGTTCTGTGCCTTGTGTCCATGCTGAATAACGTTCACGATTGTTATACAGTTCTTGTTATGTACCTCACTGTGCATTATTCACACTAGAGTATTCTTGGAATATATACATACTAGAGCACCCTTGTGGATAATAGATGAGAAAAGAGAACGCTGAGGAGACTTAAGATAAGATAGACTACATAATTAGCAAATACAAAGCTGATTAATATTCGTACTATGTATTAGGGCTAAGGAAATAAAGATCAGTTTTATCCCATAGTTTGATTGGCAGTTACCTGGTTGGTACCTGGTTGATGGGGTTCTGGGAGTTCTTCTACTCCCCAAGCCAGGCTTGACTTGTGAGAGTTTGGTCCACCAGGCTGTTGCTTGGAGCGGCCCGCAGGCCCACATACCCACCACAGCCCGGTTGGTCCGGCACTCCTTGGAGGAATAAATCTAGTTTCCTCTTGAAGATGTCCACGGTTGTTCTTCTTCTTAGAGGCAAGAAGATAAGAAGCAAAAGAACAAAGAAGAGGAATAGAATACACATAACAGACTAGGGTTAACATCATCTAAAACTAGTGACCAGAAAATGTTACGCCAAAGCCACCTATTTACTGCTAGGTGAAGAGAGGCATCACGTGAAAGAAAGTGTGTGTCCATTTGGTTCAGCCGCGAATCTATTCTGGGTCCATGAACTGTGAATCTGTGAACGCTGTGTGTGTGTGTGAGGACACCGGTGTGTGCGGATGTGGTTGTGTGCGTCCAAGTAATCGCGCCTCGCGCACACACCTACAATTATTCAAACGAACAGGATGCCAAAACCGATAATGGCGGGGGGCGCCCCACACCTGCAGCAGCAGCAGCGCCACCAGGGCCCCCTGACGGCGTCACCGGATAACACCCTGACCGCCACCTGGCCCCGACACGCACCCTCCTCCTCCCTGTCTCTGCTCACTAATTGATGGATCACCGTGACCCGAGATTCCAGTGACCTGAATGCTAGAGAGAGTTGTTGCCACTCTACCTGCTGCCTCTCTCTGTGCAGGATGGCTGCTGATTGGTGCGTCTGCTGCCTCTGCTTCTGGGCGGGAAAGTGCGTTTTCTTTTTTATGGTTGCGCCTTTTTTTGTGGGAGGCTGTGTGTATTTACCTAGTTGTGCTTGCGGGGGTTGAGCTCTGCTCTTTCGGCCCGCCTCTCATCTGTCAATCAACTGTAACTACTATTTTTCACACACACACACACACACACACACACACACACACACACACACACACACACACACACACACACACACACACACACACACACACACACACACACACACACGCACACCCGGGAAGCAGCTCCGTAGCAGCTGTCTAACTCCCAGATACCTTTTTACTGCTAGGTAACAGGGGCATCGGGGTGAAAGAAACTTTTCCCCTTTTGTTTCTGCTTGGTCCGGGACTCGAACCCGGACCCCGGACTAGTGTGTGTGTGTGTGTGTGTGTGTGTGTGTGTGTGTGTGTGTGTGTGTGTGTGTGTGTGCGCGCGCACGCGCGTGCGTGTGCTCACCTAATGTGCTTGTAGAGGTTGGGCTTCGGCTCTTTGGTTCCGCCTCTCAACCATAAATAAATTAGTGAATCGGTTCCTCAGCCTATTGGGC